TCATTATACCTTATCTAAATCACTCTAGGGAGAAGCATTAAAGACCGCAACACATTTACTTTTGATAGACTTGTGTCAAATAGAATTTTAGCTCATTTTGATTTTTCATATCTTAATAAATGTGTTCATTGTATCAAGGAAAAATAGACAAATATTAAGAGATTAGGTGCCAACAGAGCGGTGGACGTATTAGAACTCATTCATACAGATATTTGTGGACTGTTCCCTACGGCTTCTTGAAATAGTTAACAATATTTCATAACGTTTATAGATGATTATTCAAGATATGATTACCTATATCTCATTCATGAAAAGTCCTAGTCCCTGAATGTGCTCAAAAGTTTTAAAGCAGAAGTTAAAAATCAACTCAATAAAGGATTAAGACTATTAGATCTAACTGTGGTGGTGAATACTATAGTATATATGACGGATCAAGTGAACAACATCTAGGGCTGTTTACTCGATTCCTAGAGGAATGCGGTATCGTCCCATAGTACACCATGCCAAGTTCTCATAACATGAATGGTGTTGCTGAAAGGTGAAACAGAATATTTAAGGATATGGTAAAGAGTATGATTAGTCATTCTACCTCACCTGAATCACTATGGGGAGAAGCATTAAAGATCACAACATATTTAATCAACAGAGTTCCAACTAAAGCAACTACAAAGACCCTTTATGAGCTTTGGACGGGCAAAAAGTATAGTTTGAGACATTTGCACATTTGAGGATGCCCAGCTGAGGCTAGACTTTATAGACCACCGGAAAAGAAACTGGATTTCAAGACTATTAGTTGTTATTTTGTTAGTTATTCTGTGTGATTCAGGGGTTATAAATTTTATGATCCCACTCTTAAAATAATTTTTGAGATGGAAAATGCCCATTTCTTTGAAGATGTTGAGTTTGTGGAGGGGGGGGGGGAGGGGGGAAGAGTTCACGACCTTGTTTTTGAAAAGAAATGGATCAATATTCCTATTCCTTCAATTGTTCTTAATAATGATCAGGATCAGGTTCTTATACCTAGTATTGTTCAAGAAGTAACTCCAAATCAAGACAATGTCATAGTATCTCCCGTTCATTTTCATAAAACTGTTCCTTAAGCTCAAACTTTACACCTTCAAGAACTTATGTCATTAAGAAGATCCACAAGAGAGATGAGAAGTGCAATACCAGATGATTATATTGTATATCTACAAGAATATGAGTTTAACATTAGCACGGTGGAAGATGATCCTATCAACTTTTGTCAATCCATGGAAAGTTCTAACTCACATAGGTGTATTGATGCCATGAATGAAGAGATAAAGTCTATGAAGGATAATAACGTTTGAGATCTTATCCCATTGCCTATGGATGCGAAACCTATTGGTTGCAAATGGATATTTAAGACCAAGAGGAATTCGAAAGATAATGTAGAGAGGTACAAGACCCGTCTTTTTACTAAGGGCTTTACACAGAAAGAAGATATCGATTATAAAGAGACTTTCTCTCTGATTTCGTCGAAAAATTCTTTTAGGACTATAATAGTTTTAGTGACATATTTTGATCTTGAGTTACATCAGATGGATGTTAAGACAATGTTTCTCAATGGTGACATTGAAGGGACAATTTATATGGTACAACTAGAAAATTTTATATTCAGATATGCATAACAAATTGTTTACAAACTAAAAAAATCCATTTATGGACTTAAACATACTTCCCGTCAATGGTATCACAAATTTCAGCAACTCATCATTTCATTTAGTTTTGAGATGAATTTAGTGAAAGATTGTGTATACCATAAGTTTAGTGGGAGTAAATATATTTTTCTGATTTTATATATCGATGACAGTGTTTGCAAGCTGTAATATAGGCTTATTACAATTAACCAAGAGATTTCTGACAACAAAATTTGATATGAAAGATCTTGGGGCTGCCTATTTTATATTAGGGACCCAAATATATTGAGATCACTCTTGGGGTATTCTTGAATTATTATAGAAGAGGTATATAAAAAAGGTTCTTAAAATGTTTGGCATGCATGATTGTAAACAAAGATATGCCCCTGTGTTTAAAGAATACAAGTTTACTCTAAATCAATGCCCCAAGAATGATATAGAGACTACAGAGATGTAAAAGATTCTTTATGCTTCTACTGTAGGGAGTCTTATGTATGCACATATTTGTATGTGTCTAGATATTGCGTACATTATTGGGATATTAGGTAGATATTTAAGTAATCCAGGTATAGATCATTGAAAAACAGCCAAACGTTTCATGCGATATCTACAGAGAACAAATGATTATATACTCACATATATGAGGTTAGATTTGTGAAGATCATTGGTTATTCTGATTATATTTTTTTTTAGATGTCAAGGCAGAAAAAATCTACAATAGACTATATTTACTTGCTTACTGGGGGAGCTATTTCCTAGAAGAGTGTTGAACAAACACTTGTAGCCTCTTCTACTATGACAACAGAGTTTGTAGCTTGTTATAAGGCATCCAATTATGGAATATGGCTGCGAAATTTTGTCATTGGACTATGTATTATTTATGGCATATAAAGACCATTAAAGTTATTTTGTGATAATAAATCTGTAGTTATGTACTCCAACAACAACAGGAGTTTGATGAAGTCAAAGCATATAGATATTAAGTTCTTTGTTATTAAAGAAAGAGTTCAGAGTAAGCAGATATCGATAGAGCACATTAGAACAAACTTCATAATTGTGGATCCGCTCCCTAAGGGATTACCACCTGATCTTTCATGAGCACATTACTTATATGAGTGTTGTATCTCTAGATGATTTGTAGTTTCAGTAAGAGTCTTGTACCATAGTTGCATTTATTTTATAAGTCATGTCATAAATTATGTACTTTGGTTTGGTTTATGGATATATGGTTTCATTTAAGTTTGTGCTTTTTGCATTGTATTTATATATATTATTATCTCTGAATTTTCTTACAGTTGATCTTACTAAGGTTAGGGTATGACCAATTGGAAATAGGCATATTTAGATCACATAGCATGTAATTTTCATGCTGCACATCTATTATTGATCCATGTCGTTTGGTTATACTAATATACGTGACCATTGATGAGTTTAGCTATGTTAGTTATAGCGAAGGCCATTTTGTTGCTATGTCTTTATAATTGATGGATGGGATTGTTTGGTGATACATTCAGGTATTGATATCACAGTTCTGAGTACTCCTACGGTTATTAATGCATAATTAAAGTGTCGCATAAAGCCCAAATGGGAGATTGTTGGATTTTTCCGACGTGTGGGTTTAATCTGGACCTTAGTAAATGTATATGACTATTAATTTAATGAACTCATTTAAAAGTGATCAAATATAGTTAAACAATATTAAGTCTTAATGCGTTGAGTTTAAGTATGAGCTTGTAGTATAGATGTACCATTTTTGTAATATTCTCATTTTATGATGGGTAAGATAAAAATTACAAAAGTTATTCGATATAAGAGGCGGTTATAGTTCTCAAATCAAAATACTGTCATTTTTATTTTTCTGAAATTCCGTTACCAGAAAAAACTAATTTCAAGACATCATATTGATTTGGAATATCCTACAGCTGGACGCGAACAAATATTCTGTGATGGATTCAGGTACATTTTCAATTAGATTTCTATTTAATTCAGTACGAGGATGTATATTTAATTTTTACAGATCTTCGGATTTGAAAAAAAAAAATTGTTCTAACAATAGATTGTTATATTGATGTAAATAATTTTGGATAAGGATGAGGGTCCGATTAACCTTTAACAATGGTGGTTTTCATAATAAATATGTAATTATTACCAGGATAAGAGTTTGATTGAATAATTGTAAGTATTAGTAAGAGTTTTTGAAACTTTAGTAAGAGTGAAGTGCTAAATGAAAAACAAATTTGAAAGGCATGTGTGTATATATTGAAGCATTAGATTAAAGGTCTTTTAAGGTCCAAATGAAAATTACATGAAGGCTAACCCAATAAAATGAGAGCCCGTCCCAATAGCTTGCTAGCCTTATACTAAAATGCCAAAACGACATCGTGTGATTTAAGTAAAGACAATACCATTTAAGCAGGCCTAAGGCCACAAAAGAGCCTAAACGACATCGTTTACGTTTGTGACAGCAGAAGGAGAAAACGCCAAAGATGTCGTTGGGAGGTTCATATCCATCAAATTACTTTTGTCTACCAAGAATTTTATCCATACAATATTTTATGTATTGTATTCACCAAAGATTTTATTTATTTGATATTTATTGTTCATCAAAGTTTCTGTCATACTTGATTTTTAGTATATTCAAAGAGTTTTGTCAATTTAATATTTATTTAATATTTAAATGATATCAATATTTTGTTGTCTTCTTTTTTTAAAAATATTGTTGTTATTGTTTTTAACAGCTTGATATTTCTTAGCGTAATATATTTTTCACTTGCAAAGAGATTTTGTTTTTCTTTATTTTAATAGGTCAATGTTATCTTGAGTCATCACAATGATGTTGAAATTTAGGTATAATTTGAGTTTATTATTTGAGTGATTTTAATATATGCATTTAAACCAATTCGTATAAGAATCTAATAAGACACTATCATATAATAGTTTTATTCTAAGTTAATAAAATTTTTATATTAATATATAATTTCTCTTTATTTTAGTATATTAAAATTTGAAGTTTTGTACCAAAAATTTGAATGAATTAATTGAATCCAAATTAATCTTGTTCTAAGTTGTTAAACTTTATATATTATTATAAACATTTTTCTTTCATCAAGAGTTAGTCATGAGGTAAGTTGAGAGTATTTTATTATACATTAAAATTTGAAGTTATGTACCAAAATTTTGACTAACTTAATTTAGTCAAAATATAGGAACAAAGTTATTTTGTCTCATTTTCTTTATATATATATATATATATATATTCTAATTATTATTTTAAGGTACCAAAATATTCATTGATTAAAGTAAGTGAAACCAATGGAAAATATTAGAAAGCCAATCGAATAGAGGAAATTGTTAAAATCTTTTATTGCATATTGAGCGTGCATAGCAAATCAAAATTTACAGTCTTACATGAACAACTCAACTAAAATCCCCTTTTAAGTGTTGACCGCCAGTTTATCTATCAACAATCCCAGTGATCTGTAAGACGATCCATTTTCACTAATAGCCATCCTACTCTTCTCTCTCGTTTGCTTTATATTCTTCCTCACTTCATCATCACCCTTCATCAACCGCTTCAGTCCTCTCTCAAATTCTTCTGCCAACACCAGATCACTACCCTCCCTGTACTCCAATCGAATTTCCACCGCCATTTTCGATTCCTTCACCAGCTGAAATGCATTCATTTGCTGCTCTGCATACAGCGGCCATGCCGCAATTCGTACGCCAAACCATAAACTCTCCAACACTGAATTCCACCCACAATGTGACACAAATCCACCAACAGCTTCGTGGCCTAAAATCTTTGATTGTGGAACCCATCCGCATATTTTTCCAATCCCCTCAAGTTCATCCACCAACCCATCTGGTAATATCTCCTGCAAGCTTTTATATTCACCCGGAAGATCTAAAGTCTCCTTAGGTGGTTCACGTATAGACCAGATAAACCGGATTTGAGCCCGGTTCAGTCCTGTAGCAATCTCCCTTAATTGGTCAACACTCAAACTTCCCAAGCTACCGAAACATAAGAACACGACTGATGATGGGGTTTGGCCATCTAGCCAATTTATAATACTTTCATGGCCAGCCCGGTCTGGATGCCATTGAGCCGGTCCAGCAAGGTCAACGATCGGGCCAATTGGGTAAACCGGCGGGAACTCGCCATTGCAAAGCGAGTCAACCGCATGTTGCTCCAGCTCTCGAAATGTGTTCACTACAAGACCATCTGTTTCCGTGTATCTCCCTGCGTGATGCAAGAACCAGAAATACCCATCATTTTTTTTCTTCAAAACTCGTGTGGGCAATACGCTTGGGGGAAGGGCGTTGGTGAAACCCGGGATGGTCAACACAGCGGCAGGGTCTTTTGGGACAAGCAACTCAGTTTTTGGGTCAAGAGTGTAGTCAGTGGCTAGTTGGGCTTCTAAGGTTGGTAAATGGAGCATGAACCGCAAGAAGCTCGCTGGAGATGCAAAGAAAAGATAGCAAGGGACGCCGAGTTCTCTGGCGACATCGATCATAGACGTACAGAACATGTCAACGAACAACGCCGCAACTCGTACAGAGTTGGACTCAGATTCTAACTCGGTTGGGTTGAGTAATTTGGTGATGACTTGTTTTACGTGAGGCCTGTGTTTTTCCACTAAGAGACAAAAGTAGCCCAATGAGGACTGATACTGATCTGGTGAGGGAGGATCCACCGGAGGCAGGTGGTGGAAGTTAATATGAGGAGACGAAGCGGCACAAGAATGGATATACGCGTTAACCAAGGGCCGCTCACAGATGTCGATCATGAGTATGGTGGCGGAGAATCGAGGGTCGCGATTGGTCAAATGACGAGCGAATTGAACGGTTGGAACGAGATTGCCTAGATTACCAGGAAAGGAGATGAAGATGACCTCAAATTGCCTCATTTCTTAGAATTTGTTTTTTCACAATGCAGACAGAGCAGATATATATACATATAATCTTCACTCTTGTTGAAACATATTATTTTCAATTAGAATTGTTCTTTAATTAGTTCTCGTTGGATCCTACATATCCAAACGCATCTTCGTTTATATATTTTTTAAAATTTAATTCATTGAAATTTGTGGTTATGATATTTAAAAAATATATTGAATAATATATATTTTATTTTATGTTACTTGTTGCAGGATGGTTGGAATCCATTTGAGCTCCTCTGCATCTAAATATACGCAAGCTCATATAATTGACAAGTGGGTCATTAGTAGCCACCAACCCTCTATTTGACATTTATTTTAACAATAAATTATACATATTCACGTGTTTTAATGTTCATCCATTAATTTTATATATACATATATATATATATATATGTAAAAAGATTATCTACTATTTAGTAGTAGGTGATTCCCGTAATTTTTAATAGTAAGATGGCTTCATTCAATAACTCTTTTTACGTAACCAAAACTTTTTTAATTTTTGGATGTTCAACCAATTTTTGGTATCTTGGAATCAGGTGTTTAATATTTGGTGGTTGTACATCCGTATGTTTTGTTATTTTTGGATCCATAAAATTCTTTTACTTTTTATTAATCAGTAAATTTTTTTTAAAAATAAAGTATAGTAGTTCTTTAAACATAATTTTACAAAGAAAAAAAATTAAAAAATCATATGCATTCAACCTATATATTTAAGTATATATTTTTGTTATCTATTAATATTACATACATACATACATATATAGTCTTGTTAACTATTTTTCTGGACCAATTACAGTGCCTCCGAAGCACCATGCCTAAAAAATATTCTCTAACATTTTGTAATTTAATCTAATAATATCTTAGAAGAAATTGCTAAATGATATTAATTGATTACTAAAAAATATTATAAAATTCTTATGAAATATTAAAAAAAAAAAAATTAACTAGGAAACTTCATGCCTCTACGGCACAACAAAATATCCTAGACACCATAACCAAGTTGATTATGCATAAAGACATTTATGAACCACCATATTCAAGGAAGAGTACTCATTTGAGCTTAAAAACAAGAAGTTTATAGTGGAGACTAATGGTGTATATATATATATATATATGAATAATGGAAAGAGAGAATAAAAGGGGGGAGGTGAGCTCCTATTTATCTAGGAAGGAGGTTTTGAGTAAAGAGATTAGAAAGAGGCATGGTATGGGCAAAGAGAAAGAAGGAAAAATAAGAAATTAAAGAGAGAAGATTTTGCATAGATAGACTGTGATAGCTTGAAAATACTCCGAGTTAATTTTTTATGTTTAATATATTTAATTTAACATTTATATGTGTTTAAAAATATATATACTAAGGTTAAGAACATATTTTAGAATCAAATAGAAAAATAATGAATAAGGATCAATAAGTTAAAATAAGCATGAAGAAACATAAAAAAAGGTGAGAACATTTTAAATAAAGTAGTATAATGAAAAGTGATAAATTTTAGATAAAATAACATATCGGAAAGTAACAACTTTTAAATAAAATGACATGTAAAAAATGATAATTTTTATATGAAATGACATCACATAAAGTGACAACTTTTATATGAAATGTTACGTGAAAAATGGTAACCTCTTATATGAATGAGCATGTGAAAAGACCTTTTAAATAAAACAACATGTGAAAAGTGGTAATATTTTAGATGAAGTGACATGATGAAAGGTGATAACTTTTCAATAAAATGGTATGATAGAATAGTGGCAACCTTTCTCTCGTGGCTCCCCACTCCTAAAAATAGGAGATGAGAGAATGGAGGAAGAGACATTTCAGATGAAATAAAAATAGTGAAAAATATTGAGGTGAAGGAAAAAAATGGAGTATGAAGTATGTGATTTTTTTAGAATATTTTGAGATTTTAGATAAAAATCTTTGGAAAACTCTGCTAAATTTGTGAGAACAGAGGAAGAGGAAGAGAAGAGAAAGAAGATTCACGATCAAAAAGAGGTTATAAACCGTTAGAAATGTAAGTCTTTTCTTAAGTTTTAAAGTTCAATTTCTCTTTGATTTTTGAGATTAGTTTTTGAATATTATATTAGATATTTTTTAATCAAGAAAGTGACCAAAAATCATCCCGAAAATCTAACGAATTTTTGACAGGAAAATGTCATAAATAAAGGCAGAACTCTGACAGAATTAAGATTATGACTGTTAAGCACCTAAGGTAAGTGAATATTATAGATTCATAACCTACGTAGTCTAGAGTATTTTACGTATTTTCAGTACAAAAATATGCAAATGTTTAATTTATCTTCCATATTTACAAAGTAAATATTTGTTAAAGTTTTACTTCGATGTAAGTATTATTTCACTTTATGTTTTCGAAATGTGATTTTGATATGTGTACATCACTCATTATGAAGGAGAGTTATTCTAAAAACACCTACATTATGCTAGACTTCATTATGGCAATACATATCATTTCGTGTTTGGGTGTATTGGGGAAGTGATAAGTGTGTACACATATATAACCGTTCCGTATTCGGGTGTATTGATGAAATAATAAGTGTGTACTCATACATAACCGTTCCGTGTTCGGGTGTATGGAAAAACAATATGATCTGCATGCCCTAACCATTCCGTGTACCGAGGGTAGCAGAGTTTCAAGGTACTCATGTATACCGTTCTATATTCAGGTATATAGGAAACCAATGATAAATATTTGTACCTACGCATAATGTATGTTAACTAATTAATGCTCCATAATAGTGATGAAGTATACAATGAAATAATTATGAATCTATTTTCTAATTTGTGCATTCATCTTCTGATTCGTATATATTTTTAAAAAATTATAATATATGTTTTGTTGTCTGTAAAGAAACTATATATTGCATGTACTATACTGTGATTTCATAGTATTACTTATTGAGATATTTTATCTCACCTCCCTATCACCCTACTTAAAATACCGCTGCAAAGTGAGCGGTGATACGAAGAAAACTCTTAAATTTAGACTCTGAGATTAAGATTACTATTTTATACTTTTATTTAGTAATATAAGTAAAGAAATCTAGAATCTCATACATAGGTTTATGTTTTACATTTAAGGGATGTAAGCCTTTTGCGACTCTGTTATGATTAATAAAGTTAAGTTATTTTACTTAACTCTAGTCTATGTTATTTAAATAAGTATGCTCCTATCATTACCTTATAAGACGGAGTATAGTCCGTGACAAGTGGTATCAGAGCACGATTATAGGACATCCCTTGAATACGAGGCTTAGGGTTACATAAGACTTAGACAAAGTTGTGAAACATAAGGAAATGTCTTTAAATTTGAATTTCATGAATATAAGAAATGGCAAGGATATTAAGAGAGCAAACACATCAGGTTTGAGAAGACCGAATCAAGCAGAGTCTCGATAAACTCATATGTATAGTCAAACGTTTGGTTACGATGGTAAGTCAACACATAGTCTATAGTCAAAGTGCTAGTAACACTAATAATGCTAGTACCAGTAATACTAGTCGATAGAGAAAAATAATGAAAAACTCATTGAAAAATTTAAGAGGATGTACCCACCATCATTTGCTGGAGCAACCGATTCAATATTAGCTGAATTGTGGATCATAGAGTTGGAGAAGATATTCAAGATTCTCAGCCCTATTTCATAACAAAAGGTATAATTAGCCACATTCATGTTCAAGGGAGCTGCAGAACACTAGTAGCGCTTGAAGAAGGGATCCCTGAGGACACTGATCATTTGGGAAGCATTTAGAGCAACATTTTATTAGAAATATTTTCTTGGCTTTGTTCGAGAACAAAAACAAATGGAGTTCCTAAAGTTAAAGTAAGGGAATATGTAAAAAAGTTCATAGAGTTGGCTCGATTCGTGCCCAAGATAGTAGCAAATGGAAGCCTAAGAGCCAGGAAGTTTTAAAGAGGCCAGCGTAAGGAGATATGTGATAAAATCTCAATTTTGAATATTAATGACTACTAAGAAGCACTGAAACGGGCCCAAGTTGCAGAAGAGGCTACAAGCCCAATCCCACAATAGATCTAACGAGCTCGACCATTTATACTAAATAATAAGAGGAAGGCCCGAGAGCCACAACAGCCTAATAAGAGGCAAAAAACGAGTTTCATAATTCCTCTGAGAGCCCTAGCACAAGAACCAGACAAATCTGCCCTCTTTGTGGAAAAAATCATAGTAGCAAACCCTACTACAAGTTTATAAATGGATACTTCAAATATGATAGTATTCAACATCGAATCAAAGACTGTCTTATCAATAAAGAGCAGACCTGGCCAAAAACTCATGGAAGAGTATATGCCATTACAGAGCGAGATGCTCAAACCTCATAGGATGTAATATAAGGTATGCTCACTATCTCTAATATCTTGGCTAAAGTTTTAATAAACCCAAGATCAACACACTTTTTTACATCACATGAGTTTGCTCAAAATCTGAATATTAAACAGTCACATTTAGATTACATATTAGTAGTCTCTACTCTAACCAATAAGGATTTGACCACTAGTACAATCTGTTGAACATGCATTGTAGAGATTGCCAATAGAGAGTTACTAGTAGATCTCATACTCAAACATACATGATTTTAACGTCATAGTAAGAATGGATTGGTTGGCAGCGTACCATGCCAATATAGATTATCATGGGAAAACAGTGACCTTTAATGTTTCCAATTATAAGGCCTTCAAATTCAAAGGGAATAGGGAGCCCCAACATCCATATCTCATATCTTACATTCAAGCTCAATGATTACTTGAGAAGGAATGTGCAGGGTATTTGGCTTACATAGTGGAGAATAAAAGTAGAGAAGTCAATCTACAACAAATACTAGTGGTGAAGGAATTTTCAGATGTTTTTTCAAAAGATCTTCCAAGTCTACCTACGGACCAGGAGATCGAGTTCTTCATTGACTTAATTCTTAGTAAGTGCCCTATCTCTAAGGCTCTGTATCGAATTGAAAAAACTAAATTAGAAGAACTCAAGAAACAATTACAGAAATTATTGGATAAAGGTTTTATCAGACCAAATATATCACCATAGAGAGCTCCAG